ATATACTTTGCTGGTTTTTGTGTTTCTCTAGAGAACCCAATCCAACACAGTCATTGAGTCTGTTCCAACTCATAGGGACCACCTATACAACAGAACAAAATGCTTCCTGGTCCTGCACCAAACAGTAACTACTTGTGATTACTGGTTGTGATTACACAAATGCAAACCCATTCTCAATGACATCAACCTGATACTCTGTTCCAAAACCCGAGAAACTACTCATATGGTTCATTTGTCAATCAATTATGTAGAGCTTCATGATGTGGCTACAATTTTTTTTTTTTCCTTATAATTTTATCGCTTTTGTCATTTTTCTCCCTAGATAGATTTCTAAGTTACCTCCAGGGAAAAAATAGATCTGAAATTTGCTTTATCAAAACTGGCACAATTTTTGCCCGGGGTAGATCCTCACAAAATCTTTATTGATCACCATAACTCAGAGAACATTGTTTCCTGAATTTCAATGTTGAAACATACTTCTCATTTTTCTAGTAAGGCATATACACTCCATACATTTTTAGGATTATTGTACATTGTTACATAAATAAAGAAACTCAGTAGGAAAAGACTTGTTGAAGTTAAATGCAATGTATTGAGTCTCTACAACGAAATACATATGTAAATCTCTCTATATATGCATAGGTATGGAAGATAGATAGATAGATGGATGACAGATAGACAGTTATACAGATAGATAAACCAAATAATAAGTTGCTGAAACACTTAAGCTTACCTTATATTTAATGAATCCTTATAAAAACCTTGTTATTAGTCCAGGGTTAAAGTACAGCCATTTGTAAAGCTTAAAATAGCCAGTGTCTGAGATCTAAAATGACTTTTTGATGAAAGATACTTTTCAATGGGACAATACTGACCTGAGCTGGGAAGGAAGAAAGAAATTCAATCAGCTGGAAACCAGTCTCTTGAATATTTGTCGCTGCCTGGCGAATCACCAGATGTAATGAAGACTGAGATTCCTCCAGGAGAGAATTAAGCCACACTTCCACGTTGCCCTCTGCCATCACAGGCTTATTCAACTCAATTGTCTCACCCTCTCGGGAGGAAATGGACAGAATGCGATCATAGATCTGTGTTACAAACAAACGTTATATTCATATAAAACATGAAAAATAAGTCTTGACTTTTCCTCTAGTCCCTTCTTGCTAATGTTTCCTTCCCAGGGAAAGTTAAGCTAAGATTACAAGAGACAAGAAAAATATGATATCAAATCATTTCCAAAGAAATAAAAATGTTAATCATGAAATCTAAAAAGGAAAACAAAATCAGCACCACATAATATACGTTTAAGAGAGGAGAACTTGTTTTCTAAAAGAAGTATTAATACAAATGGAATGATCAAAACATCTTCAATGTTTCCAAGTATAATGAAGGTCTCTGAGAGTCTGTCAGTCTGCAGCATCAGATTGTCCGGCTGAGATTTAGCAACGGCATGACCATTCAGACTCCGCACTCTTTACAGCTCAGAGTTGTATATAATGACCTCTATTCAAACCCAGCTCCTATCCTGGTCATCTCCCTTCAGTTCTGTGCAGCGTGGCAGCAAGAATAGCAATAGTACTTGGAGCTCTAAGATAGAGGTTCAAACAGTGTTCTACCATACACTGGCCAAGTGACATCCCTGGGACTACATTTCTTGCCTATTAACAGGCATTTAAAATCATGCCGGTCTCTCTTCCCTACCCACCTCACAACCTGTTTATGCCAATTAAACAGAATAACACCAGCTACAAAGAAAAT